TTTTGTTTTGTTCTACTCATGATACTGATTCTGGTACGTAGGTATACTTGTATACTTTTTGAGACAATACTTGTATTTTAAAAGTATACTTTTAGTTCAGAGCACTTCAGCCCCGTAGTGTTTATAGTTGTATACCATGTAAGGTTCGGTATACTTAGTTCACTATAAACAATAGCTCTGATACAAATCTGTCACACCCCGAAACCGATGGCGGAAACGTTACGGGGCGGAGGACGTCATGTGTAGTATCACAACAGTTGTATCATAGTAAGCGAAGTAAACACAACCATTACATTATAATATGAGTGTTTACATTGTTCAAAAACATGATTTATACATAACAGTATATATAGCAAAAGTAAAAGACGTGACTTCAGAATGTTCCATCTTCTCCAAAAGTTGGCAGGAGTACCTGTCTATTGATGCCCTGAGAATACAATCAGTTTTAAAATATCATCATAAAGCTGGTGAGTTCATAAGCTTTTAGTTCTGAAGAAAGAAATGTTTCTTTGATCCTTTGAAAAGTGTTTCCCAAGAAAATCCTATATTTTCTTATGAAAGATGTTTGATTATCCATTAGTTATATGTTAAACAGCCTGATTTATGAAAGGTTAAGTTATCCCAGGAAAATCCTATATTTTCCTTAAAAGTTGATAGTTGGTTATCGATTCTGAAAATGAGGTGTACAAGTATCTACCATACTTGTATCGTTAGATGTAGTTTCCTTGAAAAACCCTATTTACTCTCAGTGAGATGTATTAGCCTTATTACATAAATAAAACTAATAAAGAAGTATGTAGTGAACTAGATCCTGAGGGTATTATCAATACCCTCTAGTAATCAAATCGGTTATTACTTTGAGGTTAGTTCACTTGATTCATTATTACCAAAGTAAATCTTTGTTATCTAGGTTGCGAGTTTTATAACCATACATTAAACTGGATATGGCACGTAACGGGGCCAGTATCTTTTATGACTTTGTCACCCCAGGCATGGCTGCCTAACTGTAGCTAGCAGTTTAGGTGCGGGATAGTCAGTCCCGTATAGATCTATACACAATAGTCACGCTCTCCCTACAAGAGATTCTGGTTATAAGGGTTAGCCCTACACTCACAAAATCCGGTGGAGTGTTACCAAGGACGTGTCTCCAATCCTAACATAACAAACTCACAAGTAATAGTACCGAAAATCCTGTTTATGTTTTGTATACATCCTTTATAAAATATCACATTTTATGATAAGATTTACAAGTTCCTTACTTTAGTTTTGAAAACTGTTTCTACGAGTTGATTTCTTAACCGATTGGTAAAACGGTTTTCTGAGTTAAAAGCATGTTGAACATATAATTATTTTAAACAAAATAATATACTTGAGCACAAGTTTCCTTGTACTTTTGCTTGTATTCCCCCCCCCCCCTGAAAACATGAAAAACTCGGAAAAAGCGTAGGGGGTATGAACTCACCTGTAGTGAGTGGTTGGGATGAACGGATGGTATAGGATGCTAAGTGTCAAGTGAAGACTTGAACACACACACAGATCCTATCAACATATAAAGACACATATATGAATACAAACAACTAATTAACCAAGTTAAGACACCCTAGGACATGGAAAACACTTTGATTCAAGTGCTATAAGTACCAAGGGTTGCATCTAAGGGTTGTAAAGCCACTTAAGGGAAGTTTTCGGTCCAAGTGGTTTTCGGTCCATGAAGGGTTTTCGGTCCATGAAGGTGACCGAAAACTCAGGACGTTTGATGCATGTGGTGAGTTTTAAGGGATTTCAAACATGCATAGGGGTTTTAAGTTCTATCCAAAGCCTTAAGTGAGTTTTAAGGTCTTAAAGGCACCTTTCTTTAGGGTTTTCGGTCAAAGGAGATACACTATACGGAAAACTCCTTTTGTTCTTGGAAAATGACGATTTCAAGTCCCTAAATCAAGTATACTAGATAACAAGTATAGGAGATAGATACTTACAATATGGAAGCAAAGAAGGGTGTTTTTGGCCCAAAACACTAGTGTGTGTTCTTGGTGTTCTTGAAGATTAAACCCAAAAGATGAAGTTAATGGATGAAATCGAAGGGTGTTACTAGTTAGGAAGATCTAATAACAAAACAAGGGGAAAGAAACACTTACATTTTTGAGAATTTGAAGATCAAAGTGAAGAACTTGATGATACTTGAGAGAGAATTTTCGAGTTCTAGACTTGTAAAAGGGAAAGAATGATCAAAATGATCATGAAATATATGTGTAAGATGGGGTTTTCGGTCACCTTGACCGAAAACTCTAAGGTCTTGACCGAAACTCCTTTTTGAGGAGGTTTTCGTTTTGCTTCAAGCCTAGAACTTCAACAAATTCATTCTAACACCGACTCCTTTGATGTACTAAGTTTAGAATATTCCGTTAGTCCAAAAATAATAGTGACGTGAACAGAAATAAATCTGAATTGATTTATTTAAACGCAAAGTCTTTCCCAAACTATCAAATTTGACGGAATTAAATAAAAACCCGAATTTGATTAACGGAAATTGAGTAAGGATAACGGAAAAAGTTCCGGGTTGTCACAACCATGACCTATTCTTGAAGCGTGGACAACCATTGAGAGTTACTGCCTTTAGTGACTCTGATTGGGGAGGAGCATCAGAAAATGGAAGGTCAACAACAGGATATGCCATCTACCTTGGGTCGAACATTATCTCTTGGAAATCAACGCGTCAAAAATCGGTATCCCGTTCTTCCACAGAGGCTGAATACAAGGCTATAGCAAATGCATCATCAGAAGTCACCTGGATCACCCACCTCCTCTCTGAACTTGGTATAACATTGGCTCAAACTCCTGTATTATACTGTGACAACATTGGTGCCACATACTTGTGTGCAAATCCCATATTCCACAATCGCATGAAACATATAGCTTTAGACTATCATTTTGTCTGTGAAAAGATTGAGAGTGGTTGTCTGAAAGTACATCATGTCAGTAGTCGTGATCAACTCGCGGATACACTTACCAAAGCGCTCGCTCGGCAACCATTTTTAGCAACACGTCCCAAGATTGGCGTCACCGATGGTTCTGCCATCTTGCGGGGGCGTATTAAACCCATATCTATCTGATATGGAAATTATCAATCTACACCTTGATTTGTGGAGTTATAAGCAACCTATATCATAGACGATTCATCACCTAAAATCATGGAATTTGACTCCCTAATTTCCTGCTGTAACATATGTATATATAGTTGTCTATACTAGCTCTGTAACGTGTCCTTTTTTTAATACATAACCCATACAACCTTTCTTTGTAACTTTGCTCTGCAATAGTCTATCATTTATAGTCTGGAACCTCCCTCTACAAATCGAAAATATATTCTCTTGTCTTTATGGTAATGTTTTTGTTTGTATTTTTATTTTTCCTTTTAGTTATTGCATTGAGATTTAGAGCTTGTTTTGACATCCTTTTTATTGTATTATGTAGTTTTAGGTCATGTTTTATCTCCTAGGTGTATCCCATGGGTCGATACTTACCTTTTGTTGTATTTATGTTTTCTTTTAATAAAATTTACTGGAGCTGCCAACCTCCTTTAAAAATAAATAAATAAATAAATAAACACGGTACATTTGTTGTTGTACCAACGACCATATGACCAATGCAGCCACCATGCTTACCTCGACTTTCTGCAAAAGACTCTGAATTTTGGACTGTTCGCAAGGAGGGGAAATTAGGCTATTGAGGGGACTGCATCTGCGACATCTATTGCTCTTCAAGGAGAAGCATAGTACAAGATTCCATGAACATTGGTAGAGGGGTACGATGATGAATGAGGCTTGTGATGTAATCCTACTAAGAGGATAAACCGTTGATCATATATGTGACCATTTTTTTGTTGGGCACAGTTGCATTAATGTTGTCTGATAGATCAATGATCGCCTAGATGATAGTACAGTCAAGGGGTGATCAAAGAACCACCAATGGTTTTAGGATATTTCGCTATAATACCTAACATACTCTACATTTCATCATGAAAGATAACTTCACATTAAGCAGGTAGAAATATAAGACTACAAGGAAACTAACGGGTTATACAAAAGTAGACATAACATGGATCTGACTATAATCATGGCTATAATCATTATATACACTAACACTTCTAATTTGCATTCATAATTTTTTATCCAAATTAAAAACCCTTTGTGTAACACCAAATTCGGCTAAACATAAAGACATCATAAAAAGTATCCCTCATCATACCAAAAGTACAAAATCGCGGTTTATATGTGTGGTCACGTATCTTATTAATTATGCCATAGTTCGTTGCAACCATTTGTATTCAATGAACCGAAAGTTAAGTTGTGCACTGAGTACTACAAGTCGTTGATCCATCATGATTCGAATACCAAGTTGGCAAGTTATATATGTTGCCAACTATAGCTTAACAATATCTTACTTCAATGAGATACAATGTTTACGTGTGGCTATCATTTTATGTATTCATGATTATTGTGATCAGATTCTATTACCATTTGCGTGAATTACAATGATATACGGTTTAATTTGATAGAATAAAACATAAGCTCAAAAAGTGAAGAACAAATCACGGGATGCCAATAACAGGAATGAACGGAACATAATAGCTAGACGGTGCCAACCTCCATAACATTCTCTTGATAAAGGCGGATCGACTCGATGTTCCCTCCAACTGCATCATTTTGAACCCCACATTTGTTACATATTTCGTGAATTACAATTAATGATACATGAGAATATATATATATATATATATATATATATATATATATATATATATATATATATATATAATATATATATATATATTTCATGTTCTAACATGAATCCGGACAAAAAATGGTACGACCACTAGAAAAGTTGTTAGTTTACGGTAATTAACCTCAGAACATTAAATATATAACAAACAAGAGACGTGGAGATATAGCATTTGGATACCATTATAAATCCAAAAAACAAAGATATTAAACATATTATACATCTTAAACATATATATAAGTAACTTAACATATATAAGTCACTTCACACACGACATAAACTTAGATAACAAGTTATTAAACACAAGAACATAAAGTCAAGAAACAATCACGGGATGCCAATGATAGGCATGAAGGGAATATAATAGCTCGACGGGGCCAACCCCCATTCTCGTGGCAAAGGCAGATCAACGGTCTTGGATGCATCATTCTGGGTCCCACATTTCCCTTCATGATTTTGTGACAAAGGGCATGATGTGTAGAAGCTCAACGGTTGAGATGTAGTGTAGGAGTCAGTTTCATCGACCTTCATGATGTTAGTGACCATGGTCTTTCTTGAGACGTAGAGTTGTTTAGGTCCACCCAAGATCTTGGCTTGGCAATTGTTTGAGGGTAGTTGGGTCTCAAAGGCACCATGCTCATTGGTTGTAACCATGACCACGTTTTCCATTTGGTTGCACTTCACTAGTATCTTTATGCCTATATGAGCAAGTGAAAAGAAGAAGAAGAGATGGTGACTGGTGAGAAGCACTTTTCTTTACTGGCTTGTACTTTATTCATAAAAATTTGTCTTCCATGCATGTTGACTTGTACTTTGAACCAACACTAACCAAAAGGAAAATTATTCATATTCAAATGTTATTGATTAAATTTATTATAAAACAAGATGGTTATAAAAGACGAGATGTGACATCAGATATGAACTATAAAACATGTCGTATTCTATAATTCATGATAGTACACCATTTGTGTTACATGTCGAGATCGAATAATTTAATTAACAAAGGAACCACATAATTATTGATTCATAAAATTCCTGTTTTTTTTTTCTTGTCTTTTTCTTAATTATGAGTTTTGTTTTGATTATACGGGTGTTATATAATTAGAAACGAAGATAAATATATAATAATTACCCAAATTTTCTTTTAAAAAGTTGCATGTGGGCTGTGATTCGAAAACAAAACCATGTACAACTAAACAAAATACAAGGCATACGAGAATTTTTAAGTTATGAAACCAAACCTGCAAGGTTAGAACCGTCAAGACAGTCGAGACAACTCACTGAGTCTTTCAAAAGATGGCATATCGAGAACTCAACCATGGATAGAGCCAATGCAAACAAGAGCATTTGAGCTTGCATCTTCACAGCCATGTCTAAATCAAAACCCAAGATGTAACAATAAAAAGCCAATGTATTTTGAGATATAAGTTAATAGATGGATAATGAGGGCGTACAAATATTTATAAGGAAAGGAATATGATCGTAATAAATAAAACAGGGACCCAAAGCAACAAGGGGTGGTTGATTTATAAATGTGAATTCAACCATGAAACCAACAACTTCTTTTAATTCATTATAGGAGTGTCCCAAAAGAACCAAAAAGCAAACCAAAAATTGGAAAAAACCGAAGAATTGATTTGTTTTGAAAAAAATGATTGTCTGATTTTTGAGATTTTATAAACCGAAATCTTAGGTTATATTTGATTTTGTTGAAAAAAAAACAAAAAGAAAATCCACCAAACCAAAACCTAAAATTATACAATTAATATTAAAATCACTTGGTAACTCACCTTGTAAAAATGAATGGCTACCTATAAGATGCGATCTTTAGTTCTAATCAATAATCAATAATCATAAATAAAGGACGAACCATTTTTAGGGAGCATTGTGCATACAGCCATACACGCATACGTTTAAGATATTGCTAGTGTTATGCGGTCGATCTTCTACTTGAGATTTATGGCAGATTGACGTCTTCCGTTTAGATAGTGCTACAGTAATCCATATTATAATTTTTTATATAAAATAGCTTTATTATTTTTAATTTTATGTTAATTTATTAGCTCGTATGATCTTTTGTTTTTGTTTTTTATTTCTTATTTCATTTTCAACTTGGTTTTCATAAAGATTGTTTATAAAAAAAATAGTTCTATTTTAAAGGGAAAATGACTTAGAATGGTAATTATCTATTCGTTTTATTCATATTTAGGCAAAAAAAAATTTACATGATTGATCAATGAACTTATTAAATATGTTCAAATGTTACAATTGTGACCATTTATCTAAGGTTACAACTTATTTTATGTATATGTGACATCTTCATGTCAAATTAAAACCGAAAAATTACTTAGAAGAATAGTTATCTATTTATTTTGTTCACATTTAGACAACTATGTTTTGTACACGATTGTCCATTATATTTGTTAGGAGTGTTCAAATGTTTTCATTTGTAAGTAATTTCCAATTTTGATGATTAACTTTGTAATATATCTTCTAAAATTTGATGTTACTTTTAAATTTATTTTTACTATATTTTTATATATTACAAATAAATTTGATTTTGTTGAATCTCCCAAAAGAATAAATAACTACAAATTTTCTATGGGACAAATAACTACGAAATTTATTACAACAAAATAGTTATGAATTTTTCTAGGGAAATACAGTTATGAAATTTACGATGGAAAAATGACCACGTGATTATGGTTACAAAATTTGCCACAGATAAATGGATACAAAAATATGGCTACGAAATTTGCTATGGAAATATGGCTACGAAATAACATTTAAAAATCCTTTTAAAGACTAAAAACATTTTTAATTAAAAGTAAAAGTCCGGAAACCATCAAAAACTTCAAACAAAATAAAACATTTTTTAAGAGTAATACGATGAATAATCGCAACTGATATCATGACACTTATATATCTAACTAGGTTTAAACCCGTGGAAACCACGGTTTAGAAAGAAAAAAAACTATTAAAAATTCGAAATCGTATTGTCTTATCAAATATTTACAAAAAAAATATTAATTTAGAACATGAAGTCAAAGAAAGTTGGACCAATAATAAACAAAAAATGGAACTACATATTTCAATGTATTTTTACCATCAACTTGTTTTTGTTCATGTAATTGAGTTGTTCCAGTAAATCAATTCATAGCAAAACTTTTTCCTTGTAGCCTTCCACTTAGAAAAGGTTAACCTTGTTTTTGGAGAATTAGAAAACTTATAAACTAAATATCCAATTTTAAATTATAAAGACAAATATAGCTTGTTACCAGACCCATTCCATCCGCTAATTTGTCGGGTCCCCAACCATCTTCAAATTTACATCATCAAGATTATACAATTCTATCAGCACCCCACAATTGCTCCAAGAGCAAGAAAGGTCATGCCTCTCATATCCCAGTTTTTATTACAAAGATATGGAGAGATCTAAAATAAACAACATATATGCCAAGTTAATTGAGGAATAAAATAAGTAATATTTAAGAACAAATTTTAATAAACTAACTCTCATATCCCATAATAGGTCCCTAAAAAGGAAAAGGGAAAAAAGGCTACTTATAATATCAAAAATGAAAAATTCCTCTTTAAGATTTCTACCAAATGTTACAAACTAACAATGCTGAGCATTTGCATCATATCAGTTCCTACGGTCTTAATTCAGTTTTATATTCTACTTACTTAAAACACATCTTGGAGCCAAACATAAGCAAGCATAAAACAAAAGTAATGAAAATTAATTTAGTGTCAAATAAAGAACACCATCATTTCAACCATTCAAGAGGTGTCTTAATTTTACTATAGGCTGCAAAATGATATTTATTCCTACTTCAAAATTTATGTAAGTTAATAAATTCCTCAAAAGAATAAATGAAAAGAATAACCACATTAAGTAATTACAAATGATAATATAACAATAACATATTCCAAAAAATGCACTATGGACGTTTTCAGCAAAATAACCAAAATTTTGATATTCATGTTGTTCTTTTGTCGCTTTAAATGTAGATCTCGAGTTCAAAACTTATGGATGAAAACATAATATTGTAAATACAATATCGAAATCAAAATTTTTTTAGTTAAATTATTAAAATTACAAACAAAGACATAAAACATACATGTCAAAAATTACCTTGGCCAAGTAAAACTTATAAACACGCAAACTACAACAGAGAAATCCAAACGTAAGTAGAAGTCGAAATCTACCTCGCTCGTGTAAAAATTAAGTTGTTGCATTTTGATTTGATCTACAAAATCTTACTTTAACCTACCCAAGTGATGACTTTCTTTTTTACAACTAATCCATCCTCACCACATACCGCTTTAATAAAAATAAAAATATACATAAATTGCAAAAGTTACCTTGGCAAGATCTGGATTTCTAATCTATAGAGATAGGTTTGACCCATGATTTAATTACTTTGGAGACGGGCAAAACATGAAGGATAGCTTCACTTAGTTATTTCACCAAACACCTAGTATGCAACTGCTCAATTTCTTCCTTAGGTGTACATGAAGGATGTCTTCTTCCTGATGAGGACAATAGATATGGATAATGTAAAGAATGTGACGAGGACAATTGAAGTAGAACATTACTTTAGCACCCCCACCAACAGGACTTAACCCTTCAATAGTATATCTGTAGCAATGAATCTTTTGTGAAGCGTCATGGAGGATTGCCCATCCTCCTTAGATGGTTAGGATCATGTTCCCTCATTTTATCCCTGTAAACATTCGATGATATTGTCAAATTAAAATGTTAAAATAAAGACCAGCTATATCTCGATATAAAAAAACATTTTCAAATCAATTGGCTGAAACACATAAACCCTAGAGCACTAAATCCTGAAGGAGACAACAAAAAAATCTCCCAACAACATATCCCTATGATCCCATGTCTTTCTAAATCAGAATACACAAACCTAGGGTTTTAAACAATCAAAAAATAAGCTTTTACAAAACTGTAATAAGTTAGAATGTGAGGATGATACAGAAAACACACACACACACATCGTTAAACATAGACACAAAGTTAGCGTTTGGAGGAATTAGAAGAAGCTTGTACCTCCAGATTTGAGAATCTTGGGATTTAAATGCGAGGATGATTTTACAAAGTGATTCTATTGATTTTGCAACCGAAGGGAGTGAATGAGGAATTTTGAAATCCAAATAAGAGCGAACCAAATGACCGAGATTTGAGACTGATTGAAGATTTAGAAGATATATTATTGATTTTTCGTGATTTATTGAAATATGATATTCAAGAACATAAAAGGCCAGAAGGATAATTTCGGAATATCACTTTGATAGACTGGGCGGGAAAATAAGGTGGAAATGGGCGTAAGGAGAAGCCACGTGGCAATATAGGTACTTATTTATTATGATAGGAGATAAGTCCCTATGTTATTTCAAGTCTAATTAATGACATCTTATATATGTTTGTGTGACTATTTTTTCTTCTCAATCTGCACCATGATGTATGTTTCTCATGTGGGTATATGTCAAAATAATACATTTGGATGAAAAACATAGTAAGTCAGACAATGGTTAGATATCATAAAATCATATATAAAACATCAAATATATTAAATATAACCCTTTTTCCATTGTAAACCATGTCTAGAACAACATTTATATTTATACATTTTTATAGAAAAAAATTACATGTATACGAGTATGTAATCTTATCACCTATATATGAGTATAAATGCATGCAATATGATCATAATTTATACACGATTTCAAATGCTTCCATACTCATTTTATCTTAAAATTGCTATACTTGTAAAATACATGAATACTACATATTGTGATAAATAATAGATGATATACGTCATAACAAAGCACATTGTGGTTATTGAATGTATTCATATCTATAAACATTTGGAATGAAAGAAAATGAAGTATCAAAATAAGCAAATGGATAAATAGTTTTCTTTACTATTATTAGATAACTCATAATTGATAATAATTGGTTTATCAAAATAAAAAGAAAACTCATTGTTCATTATAAATATCGTTGAACATTTCTAACAAGTTCGATGATCAATCGTATACAAAAAAAAAGTTATCTAGATGTGAACAAAACAAATATATAATTACCCCCTAAGTTATTTCCCATTTTAAATTTTCCATATAGATGTTACATATATTCCAAGTAAGTTGTAACCTAAGATATTTAGTTACAGTGATAACATTTGAACACTTTTAACAAGTTTATTTTGTGCGATCCTCCTATCAAAATGTAGAAGAGAGATATGGGTATAATATGTTAAAATGGCCCTCTCACGCGCAATCACAATGAGTGGTGGCCGACCAACGTGTTGGTTAACTCAACCAGTTTACTTGGCTAGTGCAACTAATGGTGGTTCCAACTCTGGACATTCGTAACTTCCTCATATATATTCTTTTCAGTCCGATTTTTCTTTCATTGTTTACTACTTGAAAATGTCTTTCCAAGGACA